GAGGAGTGGCTGGTGGGTTTGAACCACCAGGCTTCTGGTCAGCAGTCAAGTGCCTTAGACACTAGGCCACCACAGGGGACACATCCAAAAGACACAGAAAGGGCTTGTACTAGTCGAATCTGGGGATATATGAGCTCATAATAAACAATGAGAGTGACAGATTATAAACCAATGTACAAAATGAAAACTCCTGAATCCACACTGACATAAAAAAAAAAAAAAAAGCAAATAAATGGGTGAGAAGAGAAAGCTCTTCTTTACAGTAGAATATAAAATAGTTAGAAAATGTTGTTGCAGCCATCACAGTAAAAACTGACTGAAGACAGAATAAATAAATAGTGGAGAAAACTAATGAGTGAATGTTTGAAGAGCATGATACTTAGAAACTCGCAGGCTATCAGATTCTCCACAAATTATTTATTACTTTCCATGGGAAAAGTGGTAACTTTATAGTGGAGAAACCAACCGTGTAACACCCTGCCAAGTGGTCAGCGCTCATACTACCAGTAATGGGACAAACTAACACCATGTGCCTCCTGAGACAACGCTAAGGACACAATTTCACATACGTAGTTGTATTCCTGCCCCAAACACATTTTCAATCATGAGGTAACATTAGGAAAACTCAAATGGAAAGATACTTTACAAAATCATTAGCCTTTACTCTTCAAAAATGGCAAAGTTATGAAAGACAAAGACTGAGGAACAGTTACACATCAATGGAGACTAAAGAAATATGACAATTAAACACAATGCACGGTTTTTATCCTGGATCAGATCTTTTGTTGTTATTGTTGTTAGGAAGGATATAGTGAGATAGTGAATGCTAAATAAATTCTACAAATTCAGCAATCGGACTGAGTCAATGTTCTTGATTTTAATAGCAATAGTTGTACTGTGATTATGTAAGAGAACATTATTAGTAAAAACCCACTGAAGCAACGAGATTGATAAATTTGACAGCTAATTATTTTACAAGAAGTTTCATGTCTGCGAGAAATAAAATAATATGTACATACACATGAAGAGAGAGAATATAATAAAGCAATTAAGGAAAATAATCTTAACAACTGGAGAATCTGGATGAGGAGTATATCGAGCTCTTTGTACTATTTTTTCTGTAATTTTGAAATTATTTCAAACAACACGTGTATTCATTTCATACCTGTGAATATGTTACACTTACATACAAAGTCCAAAAAGTCACAAAATTTGTTTGAGGACACGCTCAAGAACGAAATCCTACGTAGGGCTGAAATTGTTTGGGTAACTTCTTCCTCTCATTCCGATTGTTTCATTTATTCACACGCTTTAAGTTTCATACTACAGAGTGGAACTGTCTCCTCTTCAGTTTGAAAGTATGACGTAATATTTTAAAAACGCAGTATTCACAGCAAGACTAAGACTTATTTTATAAAACTATTTCTAAGAAAAATGCTCTCAATTCACTGACCTACTTTTTCCTAAATACTCTCTCATAAACAATGAGGTATAGTCACCCTCACATTCAATACATTCATAGGTTTGTGTTCTTATATGAATTATCTGTTGAATATATTTTTCATAATTAGAAAATGTTTTCAAACATTTTATGGCAATCAAAATCTTTCTCCTTAAATTTGTCTAGTACTTTATGGCATGTAATTTTCAATAAAGTCTTTTTCCTACATTTATTACTGTTACATGATTTCACTCGTTTACATTCTCTGATTCAAGAGAGATTTCTCAATAAAAATATTCCAACATTCAAGTGTATGATTTCTTTCCATTATGCATTTCTCTAATATAAAATATGCACATCGAGGAGAAATTTCCACAAAATTACAACATTCACAGTGGCTGTCTTTCTGTTGTATCATGAATGTGGTTTGACTTCTGGGTAAAAACTTTCACACATTTGCAGGGTTTCTCCCACATAAGCATTTTCCTGACCAATGAGCTGCAACTTAATGCAGAAAGTTTCACTGTATTTATAAGCTGCGTTACAGATTTCTCCCTTTTTAATTCTTTAAATAAAAGTGAACATATTGGTGGAAATGTTTATTCACTCACTGAATATATAGGAATTCTCTTATATACATGTTATTTCACGATAGAATGACTTCCCTAAATGTTTTCCCATGTTTTTCTGTATTTGTATGATTCCTCTCCTACATGAGTTCTTTGATACGTACAGAGGTGTGACTTGACACTAAAGGATTTCCCACATTCACTCCATTCATAAGGCTTCCTTTTGATGAATTCTTTGATGTCTACTGAGGCCAGGCTTCCAAGTGAAGCCTTTCCCACATTCACTACATACGTAGGGATTTTCTCCTGTGTGGGTTCTCTGGTGTATGATGAGTGGTGACTTACGGCTGAAGGCTTTCTGACAATGGCTGCATTCATATGGTTTCTCTCCTGTGTGAGTTCTCTGGTGTACAATGAGCTGCGATTTCTGTGTGAAAATTTTTCCACAATCGCCACATCTGTAAGGTTTCTCTCCTGTATGTGTTCTCTGGTGTATATTAAGTAGTGACTTAGTGCTGAAGGCTTTCTGACAATGACTACATTCATACGGTTTCTCTCCTGTGTGAGTTCTCTGATGTACAATGAGCTGCGATTTCTGTGTGAAAACCTTCCCACAATCCCCACATCTGTAGGGTTTCTCTCCCGTATGTGTCCTCTGATGTATAATGAGTTGTGACTTAGTTCTGAAGGCTTTCTGACACTGACTGCATTTGTAAGGTTTCTCTCCAGTATGAATTCTCTGATGCAAAATGAGTTCCGACTGCCTCATGAAAGCTTTCTGACATTGACTGCATTGATGAGGTCTCTCTCCCGTGTGAATTTTCTGATGTAAAAGGAGCTCTGACTTCCGGGTGAAAGCTTTTTGACATTCTCCACAGGAGAAGGGTTTTTCTCCAGTGTGAGTTCTCTGATGTTCAATGAGCTGTGACTTCCGGATAAAAGTTTTCTGACACTGACTGCATTCGTTGGGTTTTTCTCCTGTATGCATCCTCTGATGTAATGTGAGATTAAACTTGAGAGAGAACATTTTTCCACATTCACTACATCCATAGGGTTTCACCCCGGTGTGAGTTCTTTCATGTTTAAGGAGATGTGGCTTACTGATGAAGGTTTTCTGACACTCACTGCACTCATAGGGCTTCTCTCTGGTGTGAGTTCTCTGATGCAATATTAGACTGGACTTATGGGGAAAAGCTCTCCCACATTCACTGCACTCATAGGGTTTCTCTCCTGTGTGACGCCTCTGGTGTATAGTGAGTTGAGACCTACTACTAAAGGCTTTCTTACATTCCCGGCATTCATAAGGTTTCTCTCCTGTGTGAGTTCTCTGGTGTAAAATGAGGTCTGCCTTCCTAATGAAAGCTTTGGGACATTCACTGCATTCATAGGTTTTCTCTCCTGTGTGAGTTCTCTGGTGTACAATGAGCTGTGATTTCTGTGTAAAAAGTTTTCTGCATTCGTTGCATCCGTAAGGTTTCTCTCCTGTGTGAGTTCTCTGGTGTAAAATGAGATGACTCTTCCACACAAAAGTCTTCCTACACTCGATACACCTATAGGGTTTCTCTCTTGTATGAATTCTCTGGTGTAGAAGGAGTGGTGAGAGATGAGTAAAGGATCTTGGACATTCAGTGCATTTGTAAAACTTCACTTCTGTACGGCTGTTATTGCGGCATGGCTTCTTACTCACAGCTTTTTTACAATCATCATATTTGTAGCAGTTAATTCTAGACGAAATGTTTTTGTGTGTAGTGTGAAGAAATAATTTCTCAGATACTTTTAACTCTTCAGCTTTCTTATTTATATAGTTTATGTTCTTATTTATATAATTTAGTAATTCTAAATTATGTATAAAAGTTCTTCTACATGAATCAAATTTATCAAAGTTTTTCTTCAGACGAAGTATTTTTCCAAGCACATTACATTCCCGGTGCCTGTCCACAGCATCAAGCTTGTCAGTGTTTTCCGGGCGCCAGTCTCCTGCATCATTAACTTGCCAGGCTTCTTCTAGGAAGGAGACCAATGAATCTTTACATGATTAGGTACTGAAAGGGGCACACTCTCACAACAAAAATAAAAGAAAGAAATTATACTCTGGGTATAGAATACAATTTAAAGGCATTTAGCAGAAGAAGAGAAAACAGAAAGGAGGCAGAGGGGCATAAAGTCATACAAAACATGGGAAAGGGTGGAAAATTATGACTATTTGGAAATAGTTTTGACTATAGGGGAGATGTTGAGCGGGAGGAAGGCAGCATGAGCAGTGTTGGTAGAGGAAGAGAAAAGATGCCTGAAAGAAAGAGACTAACCAAGAAAGAAAGGTCCTGGTTCAGATTCCAGAGACCTGATACAGAACATATACACTAAAGGGGCATTTATCTCCTTCTAAGGAGTCAAAATCTGAAAAAGAGAATGAGTGGAAGTATCCTTAAAGATGTATCTAAGCTCAGTTAACTGTTTAGTGTCATCTTTAAAGGACCAAGGATTTTTACGTAGAATTCTAGAAATAGCACATCAAGGGTTCGGTATCTTTCTGCGCTCACTCATCTACTTGGTTTTGACTCACTCACCTAGCCTGCCCTTACTGTGGATTTCTCCCTTTATAATCCATGAATCTTCCATCTGAATGTCTGCTTCTAGGCTGATAGCCTGTATGTGCGTCAGCTTAGGACTGAACCCTTGGTCTTCAGAGACTCTCAAGAGCTGGGAAAGGTCTGTTTCAGACTTTGCACCTCAATAAAATGAACAACTCTCATTTGAGAGATGAGAGCATGATCATCTGAGTTGAGAGGGTCCATCGTTTATAAACCCCACGTTCAAAGTCATTAAACACTTCACAGGACACACAAATCATAGCCGTTCATAAAGAAAAGGCATTCGATTGGTGGTTCACCAAGGGGTCTACAGGGAAGGTGTCCTTACCCACTGACACCAGGTTGCTATAATTTTCCAACATCACATCCAGATACAGGTCCTTCTGAGCAGTGTCCAGTAGCTGCCATTCCTCCCAGGTAAAGTCCACGGCCACATCCTTAAATAATAATGTTACCTGCAATGGAATATTCTTTTAATTTAAAGTGACTTTCAATCACTGATGTAGAAAACATGCACACAAGCTTATTATCATCATTTTCAAAATAATACATTTTACTTATAATCTTTGGTGAATCTAGTTTATGGAAGAAACATTAAAACACCAACCAACGTAATTTACTACATAAACAGAATAAAAGAGAAAAACCACA